ATTTTGCATTCATTTTTTCAATATGCTGGGCAATACTTTTGTTTTCTACTAGTTTTTAATTATTTGTGTGCGTTTTTTGTTGTTTTGATTTTGCATTGCGAGGTCAGTTTCGTTCATTGTGCTTTGGCAAAATTTTTGACAGCTGATAAATAGAATGTCGTCTAATACAGGTGTTTCTAGAAGGACATTTGCTAGTCATTAGTCAAACATCTGGTTTGATTTTTTATGACAAATTTATACAGTGCTAAGGCGCCAAGGTCTAGTGGTTTGAAAATAATACTCATGCGCCACGTTGACGCCCAAATTTGTCGAAACTAAGCGGCTACTTATGATAATTAAAGCACACATAATATTATTTGGTAAAACCAAAAAATGCGGCATACACTTTCCAGACCATTTAGTTACCATCCTCATTAAAAATTGGCGGTAGCTTTCGGTTTCAATTTCTATTTGATGGGAGAGCTAAGCTAGAGCTGGGAGTTATTCACGATGAATTAAACACATTTATATAAATATATACATTGCCAGGGTCTAATGGTTTTAAAATATTACTCATACGCCACACTGGCGCCCAAATTCTGCCACACTAAGTGCTTACTTACTTGATAATTAACTTTAGAGCTCAAAGGCACAAATAAATACTAGTAATACTTCTAAAGAACTGGTAAGCAATACACCTATACTGAGCTGTTTTGTGCAGAATTATGTGCTGCTTAAGAAACACATTTTGAATTAAAAGAACTCATTTCTGTACGAATATGTGTTGTTTAAAGCACCTTTCTATTGTTATTATGCTCGAAACTGGTCTTTCAATTAAAGTGAATGTTTCACATCTTTCAATTAGGTTTAAAATGTATTTACTTTATCTTAAAACTATACCAAATGTATACTAGAAATTAAATAATCACTTTTTTATTTTTATTCATTTATTAAATGTTGCTATGCAAAAATATTCAAATTATTCTGCAACTATACGTACAAGTAAATTTATTATTTTTTAAATAAATTTTTCAAGAAATTATAAACCAAATGAAGCTCATTTAAGGGTTTTCCTAGATGTTTTATTCAGCATAGAAATATATTATTATAATCTTTGAATTTTCTATTAAAATGTTAATTTTTAGTGTCAACGGAGGAACCTGGAAGATGGTGCTTTATACCTGTTCCAAACCTGTTGGTGGTTTATGAAATCATACTCCAAACTTATCTATATTTCCCGACAATATTAAGCACCTACTTCTATTGGACTATTCTTAACGAAAGCAGGTGCGGTACCTGGTCTCATTACTTATATCAAAGAGATAATGAATCTACATCTACTTCTGTTTTTATTCCATTTAGCACGATTCAAAATAACACAAATAAATAAAAACACACACAGCTCCGAAACAGCTAGAAACCATTCTTGTATGGGGCGTTACACGGAATTACACAAAGAGGACACAACAATTGGCCAACAACGGCTCATTACAGAGTTTACTGGAAATTCAAAAAAGTAAAATAAACTCGGGACTAGGGACCAAGTTTGGTTTATGTACGCTCAGCCGTTTCCGAAATCCAGGCGTTCATACAGACAGACAGACATGTCTAGATGGAATTCTCACGTCGTGCTGATTCTGAATATATATACTTTATGGCGTTGGAGATCCTTCTGCCTGTTACATATTTTTGCACAAACCTAATATACACTTTTTACACAGGTACAGGGAATAAAAATGTAGATGCCGAACGAGCAATAGAAAATCCAGTTAAAATTATTTCAGCTATGATAGTAATTTTCTACGGATTCGCCGCAAACGAATTCGACTAACTGATAATGACAGCACTTAAATTTGTGATTCTGTATTTATGATTATCATTTCAATTTTTTTGATTAACCTATTTTTTTTAGTTAACAACATAGTTGCTATACATACATACATAATTGTTTTATGTTCCTGAACTTTTAAGCTCAGAGTGCATATCTTTTTTTTTTCTTTAATAACTATTTGTGTAAGTCACATTACACCCAATTCTGTTTTTACACGGATTTTCTGGAACCAATCTACCGTGTAAAAACAGAATTATGTGTATATATGTATGTGATTTAATAAAATAAACATGAAAACTTATTCTTAAAAAATACTAATTTTACTACCAATTTTAATATTTTTTAGAGATTTTTGCATACGATCAATGTATTTTTTACACGGTTTTTTTCTGAAACCAATCTACCGTGTAAAAAGAGAAGTAGTATTTACTAAGAACAGGTTCTGAATAACAAACACATCAGTGCAGAATTAGGCGGCCTGTGCTTCAAGATACTTGTAACCACTTAATTAGAAATATATGTTAACCAGAATAACACTATTAAGGCATTTAATATTGTGTGTTGTAATTAGTAATTAGCCCGCCAAGTATTCATATTTCAGTCGAGCAACCAATTTTGGAAAATTGGTCTGCATATTAGTATTAATTAGTTGGCTATTTTGCCATTTTCCAAGCACAGCCACACCCAAAAGTCCAGCAGAGTGTGGCCCGCACCCAATTGTCACATGACAAATGTCAATTACATATTTAGTTCGGGTCTGCGTCCATGTAATAATGCCTGTTTAGTCCAATTGACCTTGCCGTAAAATCACGGTTTATTTTTAAACCGAAGCCTGGGAGAGCACGTTTCGGTGCCCTCCAATTCATGCCATTTTCCTCAATATGCAAATACATAGTATGACATACATGCGCCAACATACATAGTATATAGTACATAAGTATGTATATAAGTATACATATACCTTATGTATGTATATGCACATCATCATAAAGAAACGAACAAGTAAGCAAAATGTTTGCTCGCTTGATGACAATGCCTTAAAATAGCAGCCGCAATTGAAATGTCGGTTCATATAAAGCCAAAGCCTCATGTCAGACTCAGGCCGGGCTGGTTAGTCTGGTGTACGGGTCGTGTTTGTTGTTGTAGTTGTTGTTATTGCTGTTTTTATTGTTGCTAAATTTAAAACATTAAACGTCACTTCATTTGTACGAGTGGAGTGAGTGGGCAACTAGGTATACACATATATATACATATGTATGCATATAGTATGTACATATATGTATAGGAAATTTACTGCCGATGAACAGCAATGCGAACGAGCGACCCCAACAATAGCCCCAACAGCAACAACATGCTGACCCTGTAGCAGAAATTGCAAATTACAGACAACAACAACAGCAACAAATAATCAAAACAAAGAGTAGTAACAAGTTCAAAGTCAAATCTGTTGTACACATAAATATGTATGTACATATATACGGGGGCTCATCAATAAGTTGCCGTTGTCAGATTTTCTTTAATGTTGTTGTTGCTTTAGATGGGGTGTGATAACAAAAGAAGACATCTCTTCTACACGTCAGATGTGTATGCGTCAGATGTATTTTACACTCAAAGTACAGTACACCTAATTTAGCACGGTTTGAAAATTAAAATATTATTAAATTTATATATCGTTACACGAATTTTTTCCATTTAGCACGATTAATTTTGTATATGATCAATGTCTTTTTTACGCGGTTTTTTTAACACGACTTTTTTAGGAACCAATCTACCGTGTAAAAACAGAATAACAAAAATTAGGACCAGCAAAAAATATGCATCAGATGCATACACATTAGTTGTCTACGCCTTAGAAGTCTATACGTCAGATATATACGCATCAGATACATACTCTTGCGATGGCTAGACTTCAGATATCCACATGTCAGATATCTAAATGTCAATAGAGGTCGTCACATATCAGATATCTACACTTAACGATATTAGGCTACCTGTCAGAGATCTACACGTCAGAGGTGTACGCGTCAGCTATCAGATATCTTTACTAGAGATGTCTACGCTTTTCGTGAGTATACGTCATATGTATACGCATCAGATATCTATACTTTATTTTTATCTATACTTTATTTGTCTACTTGTCGACACGTCAGAGAAATATTCGACAGAGATCTCCACGTCAACTACGAGTCAGAGATCAGACATAAGTATTCTAGGCCTAGCAAATCCATATTTAAACCCGTGTAAGACCAATATTCCAGGGTTGTCCCTATTCATGAAGGCTCTAGCTATCTTCTATAATAGAGAAGGTCTAGCAGATTCTCATTGAACCGAACATAAGACAATTATTTAAGGGTTATACGTTTTTAATATAATCAGTTTCTCAAATACCGATGTATTAATCTCTAGTGGCTTCATAGAGCATTAAAAACATTTTTTAAGCAGAAATACCTATGGATTGACCCTCGTATAAATGTAAATGTCAGTTGGGACAACAATTGAGCAGCCGCAGTCCAATGATGTTGTTGATGATGATGATGACGATCGGCATCAACATTATCATCAGCCGTAGCGGACGATCATGTACATAATGTTGATTTGTTTTTGTTTTTCTGCTCGACTGAGCATGCAAATAAATTAAGTCTGCCTGCCATTGGGAGCGCCGTGCAATTGGCAAGCAAAAATTTAATTAACGTTGGCGCATTGTCGCAAAAAAAGCAAGAATAAAAGACAACAACAATAGGAAATTTCATTAAATTGCTGCCTCAAAACCTCCCACATATTTCCGTATTTCAATATTTGTATGAAGATTTTTACATGCCACTTTTTTTTCTCATTTATTTTATTTTTTTTTTTGGTCAATCAACTTGGTGGATAATGAAGCGATTAGCGCCGTCTGTCACGTTCGATAGACAAGGCAACAAGATAGAGAGCGAGTGAAAGAGAGGGAGTGAGTATTGTGGTTTAGATTTTTAATTTAGATACAGATTTTTATCTCCGACTGTAAGCAATTAGTGTGGGGGACTACTGATGGGGGAGTGGCAAACAAAAAGGGTCTAAATTGGAAAATTACTGAAATCTTAGCCAAGCAAACAAAGGAAGCCAGTAATGCCTGGAATAATCTGCCATAAACTAGTCAGCTAGTGTGATTCCGACTATGTACTACTCTCGGAGTGGGTTTTGTGTAACTTACCCGCAGTAATGCAACCGTTTGTAGCTGTAAACAGAAAAATGCAATGATTTATTAGTCAAAATAAACACACAGTTTTCTAAATACATATTTATGAAAAAAATATAATAAATAATCTTTTCCTTTTTCATATAACATCTAGAGAATAGGCACGTTTTTTGCATTCAAAATATAGAGTTACAACAGGTGTGCGAGCTCTTATATAAACGGGAATTATACAGCGCTGTTCTTGACAGATATCGACTGAAGGTCAACCTACTACAAGTATGCTTTTTATATACACAAATCATTTCTATAAGCTATAACGCCAATCCACGCCAGTGACGAGTCAAGCTGCAAGCAAAAAACCAACACAACTCAAATTCCTATTATTGTTTAATTTAATGCTTGCTTAATATTCGTAAGATTAAATTTTTTATTTAATTTTAAATTTTGATTTTCTTTTTATATATTACTTGTGATCCCAACTTTTGAAAACCCTGGAATAACCACCCTTTTCTCGTTTATTGTTTATTTTAATGCTCGCCTAATATTCCTAAGATTAAATTTTTAATTTAATTTTAAATTTTGATTTTCTTTTTATATATTACTTGTGATCCCAACTTTTGAAAACCCTGGAATAACCACCCTTTTCTCGTTTATTGTTTATTTTAATGCTAGCCTAATATTCCTAAGATTAAATTTTTTATTTAATTTTAAATTTTGATTTTCTATTTATATATTACTTCTGATCCCAACTTTTGAAAACCCTGGAATAACCACCATTTTCCCTGCATGCAAAAACCCAACTCAACTCAAATATTATTGTTTATGTTCGTCTGAGGACTCCTAATATTCGTAAGAATATATTATTTATTATTTTTTAAAATTTTATATTTATATATTACTTGTGATCCCAAATCTTTAAAACATACAAGTAGGATAACCACCCTTTTCCCCAAAAACAGCCTTTCAACTGAAATAAACATTGCTGTATCAATAATTCCTATGCCACCCACACAATATACATATATATCTTTGCAAAGCAACACGTTTTTGATGCTAGGTTTTATTTGTGCACCAATTGTTCCTATAGGGTATACTGCAATGATTTTAGTGGAGCTTTATAGTGTTATATGCATTTGGGAGAACGTAGAACTAACAAAATTACTTGAGATATATCTTTATAAACAACCATGCTATCATACTAAGAGTGATTACTTCACTGATCGTTTCTATGGCAGCTATATGATATAATGCACTGATGTTGATCAAACTTTAAATTATCTTCATAAACAATAAAAAACTCAAAAGTAACAACTTTTCTCGGAATATCTTAACAAACAAAGAAGTTACCTTACTTAAATTGATTCTTGCACCGATCCTATTCCTATGACAGCTATGGAAAATAATTATGTTATATGTGGTTTGTAATAAACTTGCTTTATGTATGGATAAAACAAGTCTACATACCAAGTTTGGTGTCATTAGCGTTTAAGGGTTCAAAGTTATCGACGTTCAGACGGACGGATGAATTATATCGATTCAGATGTGTACCTAGAGAACAGTTTTCTCCTGTTTATTGCATGCATTCCTTATTTAGACTCTAAAGCATATTGCTTGTATTTCATCCTTCATCCTTCATTGTGGAATAAAGACATTGGCAGATTTTAGGTTAAGTTCGTTTATAGGGAAGGGTAGCTCCTTTTTGAACGTCATCGTTGCGTAGCATGGCAACGAAAGGAAAAGTACATTTTCTAACCTGAAGCCTAATCAAAAGAGACGCATTTTTTGTTTGGTTTCCCTCTGATATCCCTGATATATACAAGTATATATTATAGGCATAGACGTAGCGCATACATACAAATGCAGGCAGACATTATTGATTTCTGCATTACACACCCATTACTGAGAAATGTGACCCTAATAATGTGTCCATGTAATTATATTCGAATTATGCGCAGAGCCCTGGAAAGTTTCCAAATGCCGGGCCATTTGGTTGACTTATTGACACACTTAACACAACCCATTGAAAACAGAATGAGAGTCGAAATATTTAAACAGCGCAGACGTCACCGAAATGGGCAAATAAATATTATAATACTTAGCACATGTTCATCAGCAGACGCTGACGCTGATGCTTTATCTTTCGGTTTGTATACTTATTATGATCATAATAAATACAGAAACAGAAACCAAGACAAATCTTTGAGAGAGAAAACAAATAAAGTCGAACCCATTATTCTAGTATGGGGGTGGTGTGTTCGGCTATACTATAGGAGTATAGTATAAAAATTTATTTATTTTGGCAAACATAAATTTGAGCTGAGGCTACATTTGATAAATTCCTAATTTATTTGATGTTTATTTAATTTTTGCACGCCATCGAATGCGATGCGGCATGGCGCAACGATTCGAGACATCGTGGCCTGTTGCCTAATTTGTGGCAACAGGTGCGCGCCTCCTAAGGCCCCCTTAATGAGCCGCAACTATCGACGCCATCGACACAACAACTTTTCGCTGGTGTTGTTGTTGCCTTGGTTCATAATTTATATTTGGATAAATTTTGATATTTATTGGCCCGCAGATAAGCTCAACCACATTTCAAAAGAAAAACGCAAATTTATTTTGTTTAGTGTCGGAGCCAAAAAAGTTATAAAATCAAATGCATTTGGTCGGCCCCAATACATACTACGACTATATATGTACATTACAAATCAAAATTTATGTGCACTAATTATTTATGATTTTGGTTGCGCGCCTATCGCAATGGTAATAAATTTTTGCAAAATCGCACGTGGAAAATTGTTGATATAGATTTTAATTTGATTTTAATGGCAACTATAGACTGAGATGAATGGCCAGAGATGGTCCTAAAATGTGGCAAGCCAATGATTGTTATAACTATAAAATGGTTTTGTGCTCCAGATAATGCTGTTTGCTGGATGTATGAACAAAATAATAAATGACTAACTATTTGCTTTAAATAGTTGTTGTTAGCAGCTGAAAAGCTGAAGTGTACTTTCATTTCAATAAGCGAGATGCTTCATTGAAAGTTTAACAGCAGCTATATAATGATTAATGAATTAATACTTGTATGATATTTACGTTACTTTGCTAATATTTTTCTTCAAAAATGTAGCCCAGCATTTTTGTTTGGTTCCAATATAAATCATTAAATGATCTGTTTATGTCTATCTATTGACGCCTCCGTCCACACTTGGCTGTGAGACAATACGCCCCGAAAGGCAAATTACATTCCCCCACCGGTGCGGAGGCGTTTATTAGATACTATTGTAATTTAATTAGATTTCTCCTTAGGCTCTTCTAGTTTATAAGGTTTTTTTTATAATCTTTATATATAGTTTTCCATTGTCGACAGTCAATTTTTAGTTGTTAAATATAATAAATACAAATAAATAAAATAAATGTCACAATAGGAGGCAGGGTCTCATTCTGCCCATTTTTGTGCTCATGCTCGAAAGTTGCTCATGAGCAAATTGTGAGCTTTCAGCACTGAGAGAGTAAATAAATGAACTATAGAATAATTTTAAATGAATTAGTAAGTTTAATTTTGTTTTAATGATTCACTTCTTTGTTATGGCCATGAAAGAAAGGAAATTAATCAGTATTGCCAGGCACACTCGCTGCTCAATGCTGAAGGCTCACATTCTGCTCATGAGCATAAGGAGCTCATTTGAGCTCACTCTTATTTGCTCCACTCTTATTCTTTAAGCATGCTCATTAAGGTAAACTCCGAGTGGAGGTAAGCGGTTCAAAGGTAGGGAGCTATATGTTCTCTCTTAATGTTTATAGTATATGAACATGTAAAAAAGCTAAAGTCGGGTGTCCCGACTTTGAAATACTCTGTACATATGTCTAAAATAATTATAGAAATAAAAAAAATGAAGAAAATTTAAAAAAAATTTGGATCGATTTTACCTCTTTCGGTATTCGAGCTAGAGAAAATCGCTATTTGCGGGGCATCTTGGACTTTAAATTTGATGTCCCTAGGTCTTATAGTATCCGAGATATAGGTGATACGGAAAACCCCCATAGGGGAGAAGTGGGGTGGGGGGGGGGGTTAATCAAAAGAATAAAACAAACTCGTATAGCCCACACACATAAGACATCTTTGTGCAAAATTTGGTGTCTCTAGCTCTTATAGTGTCTGAGATCCAGGTGTTCATACGGACGGACAAACAGACAGATAGACAGGGCTAGATCGACTCGTCTTGTCATGCTGATCAAGAATATATATACTTGGTGGGGTCTGCCACGCCTCCTTCTGCCTGTTAAATTTTTCACTTCCCGCAAACCTAATATACTCTTGTACATTTCATGTACAGAGTATAATCATCTGGGGCTTATAGCATTCTAGGTATATGAAACTTTTGACACATTTGAAGAAGTTTGACGATCAGAATGCAAATTTGATGCAACAATAGAACAACAACATATAACCGATATAGAACGATGAGATTACTGAGTTAAGATGCCAAGACTCGAGGTACAGCCGTGAACGCGTATTCCGGGCAGATTCTAGCACAGTGCTCCTCTGGCTACTACAGTCAGTTTGTTGGAATTCGCGTGAGATATCAGAGAAATTACAATGGTCTCGCTTGGATATAAAAGCTTAAATATATTAAGATAGGGTACTAACAAAAAGAATGCAGATTAGTTCATCAAATACTGAGAGAAATACCAGTAGCCAGTAATAGTGATTTCCCGGATTATTGTTGTGCAATTTGCGGTTTCGTCAGTCAATCATTCATTTAAATAAAGTAGTTACAGTTTGTTTAAATTTAAATTTTGCCAGCATATTCTATTTATAAAAGGTTTAATGATATGTAAATTTGGAATTATTAACAACATTTGAAGACTGCCAATTATCCTGCTCGTCTTGCACTTCGTTGTCCTTAATATTGATAATATCCCCCACACGCACAGATCCTTTCACGCAGTGCAGGATTTGGGTGCGAGGAAAACCCAGGAGCTCCAAACGCACCTCTGTCGTACCGCAGGCACCAATGCGGCCAAGGACCTTTATAACACGGGCGCGCAATATGCTCGGATCTGCGGGCTGAGACATTTTTTCAAAACGAAAAACAATACTTGTTCTATTTTTTTAAATAGAATGAGCAACAAATTCAAAGCAACTTATACAAAAATTTCTTTTAAAAGTTCACTTGAGAAAAAATTGATAATGAAAGCTATTTGGAAATGTGACTAAATTGATTGTAAATTGTTGGAATATTTATTTGACTGAAGCCTTTGCATCCCGACTGCTGAGATTTAAACAATGTCTTCTTATTTTGTAAACAAAATGTGTACAAAAGGCGGGAATGTGATAGAAATGCTATAGTGCTTAAAACTGTATAATTGATTGTGAAGTCAGCATCCGCCTTGCGCTGAGCCCTTTTTTCTGCCTATAGGGTCAAACATTTCAATAGCTTTAGGTGGAAAGAAGCAGAGTCCTTTAATTCCCAATATACCACCCAGTTCATTGAAGATATTATCACGGAGAAGTGATGTAACATTTCATATTTGAGGAAACTTTACCTCTACAGATATGCCAAAGGGTTAAGCGGAAGAATTGAGAATTTATTAAGCTAAAGAAAGCAATGTTTCCTTTTTGTGGCATCGAAATCCCAAACCCTATTTCAATTCTCCATTTAATACATAATTTATGTTCGACGAGCCATTTGCCTAATTTGTTCAATATAATAATAATAATTTGTCAGACAACTGCAGTCAAAGCAAAAAAAAAAAATTATTAAGTGCCATGATGGTTGCGACAAAGCAGATGCAACAATTTGCAAAAATAATGGGAAACAATACATAGAAAAGAATGAAAATTTGAAAAACGAATGACGGCGGCACGTGCTGTAAAATGAATTAAAAATGTACATAAATACATATATTTTTGGCTATAAAACAAAACGATGAAATTGCCACAGAGAGCGCATTAAATATTTAATCTTTGTGGACAACAATATGACATGAAAAACAAACAGCAACACTTTTGAGGAAAATTTATGGCAACACATTCGTAGACTAATAAATAAATGGCAAGTAGGCTTAATTCTACTTAGTATCTAGTGTGCGGTCAGGAGGGGCGCTTTAGTATTTTAGGTTACATATATATTGCAGCAGACATCTGAAGATCTGAAGGTTTTTTTTTTTTTTTTGCAGAAATTCATGTCAACAATGCGCTGAGGGCAATAACTGTACTAAACCAAAGTGCTAAACTGAGAGTGAAATGCGAAAAACTTGCCATGTGAATCGGATAAAGAGATAAGTGGCGTGTACACTGAAAGAATTTTTGAGTGATATTTGCGAACCAATAAATTAAAATTAAATTCCAAAAAGGTTCTTTGGGGGAGAAAACAATAGTTATGTATAGAACTGTAGTTGATTTTAATTTGTGTGCAAATTAATTGCACATCGGACCATAGTTTTAAAAAATCTACATTCCAAGTGAAATAAATTTGGGTGTCGCAGTGCAGGAATATTTTTTCTTCTAATTTATATTTAAAGCTTGCTTGCTAATATGTTGAAAGTAGCATAATTTCCACTTCCCGATGAAATTATTGTTAAGATTGTGAACTCTTTTTTAATATCTTTCAATCGAAGACTAAAGGAACTTATTAGATTAGTGGAAAGCCTGTAACAGGCAGAAGAAGGCATCTCAACGTTCAAAAGTATATATATTCTAAAAGTACGTCTGTCTGAATGAACGCCTTTATTTCGAAAACGACTGAGCCCAAATCTACCAAATCTTTGTATGCAAACTCTCCAAGTCGTTCGACAACACGAGTTTATTTTATCTTTTTTAATTTTTGAAAACGATCCCGTTTTTTCTCAACAATTAGTGGCAGGAATATAGACCTTTTTCTGCAGAACATAATTACGATTAGATTTGATTCCAGTGAAGAAATAAAAAATGAAATTAAAACAAGTAGAAAAGCTAAAGTCGGGTGTCCCGACTTTGAAATACTCTGTACATATGTTTACAATAATTATAGAAAATAAAAAAAATTAAGAAAATAAAAAAAAAATTTGATCGATTTTACCTCTCTCGGTATTCGAACTCACGTAAAGGGTGTATAATTGCACATTTACATAGCAATTGCGTCTGTGTGAGTGTATGTATGCCTATGCGCATCTATTCGTGTCTGTGTAAGCATTTTCGCAGTCAACCAAACAGCAACATCAACAACAGCCGCGGGCAGCGCTTGAGCAGCGCTGCAGCAGCGCTGCATCAGCAAATATATTTATGGCTATAACTTCTTGTTAAATCGGTCTATCATAATGAAATTTGGCATACGGACACATAATAACTAACTGGGGGTATTTCCAAAATTTTAGTTCGAAATTCCAAGAATTATGGGAGTTACGATTTGCGGGGTAGAGGGGGGAGGGAGGGGAATTCCAAAATATACATTTTCTGCGTATTCACATAAGACATCTGGGACTAAAATTTGGTGTTCCTAGGTCTTATAGTCTCCGAGATATAGGCGATTATACGAATGGAAAATCGGGAAAACCCCCATAGGGGGGAAGTGGGGGGGAAAATCAAAAAAATAAAACAAACTCGTATAGAATACACACATAACGCATCTTCGTGCAAAATTTGGTGTCTCTATCTCTTATAGTCTCTGAGATCCAGGTGTTCATACGGACGGACAGACGGACAGACGGACAGACAGACAGACAGGGCTAGATCGACTCGTCTCGTCATGCTGATCAAGAATATATATACTTTGTGGGGTCTGCCACGCCTCCTTCTGCCTGTTACATTTTTCAGCTCCCGCAAACCTAATATACTCTTGTACATTTCATGTACAGAGTATAAAAAAGCAATTAATTATTCAAGAATTTATATTTCTGAGTGTATTATTGACTTCTGACCAACTGTAGGAAGCAGTAACGGCCCACAATACAAGTCAGAGCGAGGTCTTATCAATATGTAAATATATATATGTATGTATAAGTATGTGTGGTTAACAATGAACGTACATACGTCCCCGTACATCGTCCCACCCGCGGCAACTCAATAATTAAACTGCCCCGAGAACAAACAGATGGCGCCATTTAATCAGCAACTGCAGAGAATTTCTGCCGAGTGGTGCACGGAGGAGCGTGGCCAAAGTACAATGGACCCCAATGCGAGCAACAACAATTTATTTTTAAACAGAGGCAAATTGATTAGAAATTGAAATTGCATGAAATCAATAAAGGAGGAGGCAGCCGGCGCTTGCACGTGAGCTTTTATTATTGACTATTGAAGGAGGAGGTGTCGTCGTTCTCACATGACCGAGCGAGTGTCATTCAAAAGAGGTGGGTCGTGGGGAGGGGAGAAGAGGGGTACTGGGTGGGACAATAACGGATGCCACTAATTGTAAAGACAAATTGGCAGCCAATAAAAAGAGTCAGGCGTCAGGTGTAAATGGCACGACTGTTACATCAATGCGTTCGTTGATCAATTGAATTAGCAGATCAGATATATTTACTATAGCATTTGAAAAATCTCTGGTGCACGCGACTCTGGCGTGTACTGTTAGTTTGGAAATCTATCTGTACTGGCTAGGCTCTAAGTTGGTAACCGCAGCCAGTACTTGTGTGAGTAAGTAATCATCATATTGACGACAAATGGCGGTCAAATTGTTTACAATTAACCTTCAAAAATTAGTGTGAGAAAATTAACCTTAGTGATGAGTTGAGGCAGCAACAGTAACAATAAAAGTCACAAAAAATAAACAACAATAAAAACAATAACAAATAGTTTTTACAAAATTACTATTGAATAATGTGCTTCTTTCTACCTCTCTCTCTGTCTCTCTCTCTCTCTCTCAGTCTCTAGTTGCAGTTAGCAATTGAAATGCAAATGCGCAACAACAACAACAACAACAGCAACAATAACAGATGACAGCACAAATGACGCGACTGCACCCACGACTACAACAACAAGTAGAGCTCGGTGAAATTTATAGAAAGCAACTAATTGAAACTAGTTGACTATGCTCGGCTGAGCGCACACAGCAACAACAACAACACCAATAAGAAATACGTTTGAACATTTGAAGTTCGTATCAATTAAGAACTTGGACTGCAATTCAATACAAAAATTGCGTTTTGTGCACCATGTGAACTGAGGTAGGTGGCCTCAATATGTGTTGACGCCACTGTGACTGTCTTTACATGCGTGTTCCACTTCCAGCTGTGACCAGCATAACCTCACACAACTACAAACACATGCACTGAGTCACCGAGAGAATAAGAGAGAGCGTAGCACGAGAGCGACGGCCAACGACAACAAGCCGGTATTTCGTTTTCATGTTATTTCCGTGCTCTGCATCGTATATAGTGATGGGGCGTGAGTTGTTTTTTACAAAGCACGCACGTAACATTACGAATATGTAAATGTTTTTGCAACAAAGCACTTTTGATTGCACATATGCATATGGTTAGCCAATTATATTTTTGTTAACCTTTCAAAAAACAATTGATAAAGAAAATTGTATTTAATTATCCAAACATTCTCAAAAAAAAAAAAAACGAAGGCAATTAACTAACACCTAAATGTTTTTAATCATTTAAAGTTATATTTTTCTTAAATAAATAAATGCATATATGCAAACATATTTTTTTTTAATTTTTTATTTTTATTTATTTATTTTTCATCGACAAACAATGCAGTATGAGATTATTAATCAAATAAGTAAAGAAAGCTAATACTATATGTATTTATTTAAAATTCGATTGGCTTGCTTAATTTTTTATGTTTTTACAAAATTGTTTTTTGAGTTATTTGCAAAATCAATTTTGAGCACGAACTGTAACGCGCTCACCACTGATTTGCAACGAATAAAATGTTTAAAAAGCAAAGTCAACTAAAATATGCTAAAGTAGGGTGAACAACATACGATGGGGAAACAACGCACAACTTTGCCAGAACCAGTTAAACAGATTTAAATGAAGCAGCAATACATAAACAATCACAATGAATAGAATAGGCAAGAACCAACCTGTTTTTCCTTTACAGTCGTCGTCGCCGCCGTATCCGCACCACAACAGTCCTCGGCAAAATCGATTAAAAACCAATTGGCACAAACCAGGCACAAGATATGGATGATGGTTTCCGTGTTGTTGCCCGTTCGCCCTGTAAGCCAGATGTATAATTGATTTTCACCGCTTTGCTTGCTGTAGTTTGGGCCGAAAGCCTTAATTTCAATACTATTAGTCACGTTAAAATTCCACAGCACAGAAGGCACTGCAGCTGAGCGAGAGAGAAGCGAAGAGAGCGGACAAATGAACGCAATTGAAAGTTCAGCGTGACGAAACGTTTTTTTCGTTTGTGCGAAAGGGGGGTGGTTGGTTGGTATTGGTGTTGCGCTGGCAATGCAAAGCGGCGTTTGCTTTTTATGCCAATGGAGAAATAACTACACAATTATTTCGCTGGCACTGCACATGAACTCTCGGATCGGTTGTTGTTAATTAATTAACTTTTTGCACTTTGTGGGGCAACGGAAATTTAACACAAAATATCCAACGGCTGGCGTTTAAGACGACCGCAGAGACACAACAAATTGTATGTGCCGCGTTCCGTTTCTCGTTTCGTTTCGTTTGCATCTTTGGCACTGCCAAGTTGCTTGTTCGATTTTTCAGAGAAAGGCTAGTGGGAATGGGGTTATTGTGAGCGAGTTGGCAGCTTAAAAGCGCGCAAAGTATGACAAATTTGAATTTGGTATGAGGGGCATACAAAATCAAATTAAATCAAGCACATTGGCAATTTTAAAGTGGGAATATGAAAAGCAAAAAATTAACTGTCGTTAGCTAGTTAATGTAAATTTTTATGGTTTTCCAAATCAATGGAAATAAAATAATTTGAAAAATGAATTTTTCTTATTTAAAGTAATTAAGTCCTAACTACATAGCGATTGTTAATCATTTGAAAATGAGCTTTTTAATTCAAATAAATTAGGGTCTGCATGTTTGTGTCCAGGATAATTTTCTTTTATATGACTGGTCCTGGCCAGAGCTAGAGTTCGGAGATGGGCTTGGCATTGCAGCTGCTTGTAAAAAGTTCAATGTTTATCGATTCTGCAGAGAGTATACTTCAATGGGAAGGGGGGCTTCTTTGAAAAGTTGTTATATTCCTGCGAGCAATAAATATGGGCAAAACAATGCACACAACAGTTTTTAGGTCATTTCCTTATCGACTCCTGGCAAATAGAACTCGATGTTCTAAAAACAAGTAAAGCGAATTTTGCTGAGTTTTTGGAATTGCTTAAAATGCAAATTTAAAACATATTAATGACCCAAAAGCTAGGTAATACAGGTGACATTTAGTAACATGCGAGCATTTTTCAATATATTTTTAAATGTACAGCAATTTTTCGACATATCGCAGCTTCCTTATTGTTTGATGAAAAAACATTAAAACAAATAAGATAAGTTTGTTTTGATTAAATATCGCAGCTTCCTTATTGTTTGATGAAAAAACATTAAAACAAATAAGATAAGTTTGTTTTGATTAAATATTTACTTATATTAATCTTATAACAATATTTTATTGGATACGAATGGAATTCGTATTTGAGCGTAAGATATTTCATTCTTTTCTATATTCATTTTAATGTTTTTATTGCTATAACTTATATAAATGTGTTAAGAAATTCGTAGCTTTCCTTATTCGTTGTAATTTTAGATTTTAATTAACCTGTATTTTATACATATGTACATATGTATATTAGTTTTTTTTGAGGTAATTTCCTAATTCTCTACGTACTTTTGTTTTCAAAAAGGAGCAGACAATTTAAAATTAATTTAGGTACAATTAAAACCAATACTTTGATGACCATTGAATGAAGTTGCTTACAAGTTAATGCTCTTGTTTAAACAAACTTAATATAATATTGTAATGGATATTAAAAAGCAAGAGCCGACACAATAGATTTATTAAGAAATTTAAAAAGAAAGACCTAAACAAGCTCGTCAATTCAAAAGGCACACAAGTAGCTTCAAAAGATATCTCTTTGGGACGAATATATTCATCGCGACAAGTCAATAAATCCATTTCGACAGCCAACAGATAAATGTATGTATGTACGAAGAACGTACATAGATACATACTATAAAATATATACTAACTAATAATATACTAACTAATAAAACATAAATGCGATGCAAATACTACAATCACTGCCAATTTATGCTTCAAAATTCCCATTACAAAAGGGCTGCTCGGAGAGGTAAATAATTTTAACCTCACCTAATTATAAATAATATATATAACAATAAATGGAAGTATTTAAATAAGCATACATAGATTCCAATTCCAAAACTCGATTTTAAATTAAATGTTTTCAAACCTTGAGGTCTTTTTAATTTATTTACAACACAAAAAGGATGGTAAACAATTATAAAATACAAGTAAGAGGTTTAATGCAATTTTTGGCTTACCTATAAAAAATGTAAACTTATTAATTTGATTAACGAAAAAGTGTTAATTTTGAACGAATATATCATAATTAAGACAATGTTTTATTTCTATTTGAAATAGTTTGACACAATTTGTTTAATAGCCCCTATGCGATACAATTAGGGCAGCACAAAAATGGGTGAAAAGCAGGCCAAGGTCACAGCAGCCACGGAAATGCAAATAAATGCATTTCCAATGGATATAAATACACATACGAGTACAGACATACATATTATTTGGAAAAACTGCCAGCAAATAGAACTTCTAGAAGAATGGCAACCCGTGCCTGATTAGGCAACGCAGCCTAAAACAACAACAACAACAACAGCAGTGTGTCATTATGGCTGCGTAAGTGGCAGCTGCTTTGCTGCCGCAAATGGCCAAAATCCAATCAGTCAACGACTGCGTTGACTGCGACGGTGAATGACGATGAATGTGGAGATGACGACAAAAACCAATCAACTAAGTGAGCAGCGCCAAGAATTAGCATAAGAAAGGAGCCACAGCCTGGCCAGTACGTACAAGTACATAGGTATGTATGATGATCTGCCCAGACAGGGCTCCTTTGGTCAGACACGAAAATCATTTAGCTTCTAATGAAATTTTACACCCGAAGGGCGAGCGCGCGCGCGTTCCTCCTCATAAAACGGCGAGACGAGCTGCCACGTCAGCAGCTTACAGCCGTTTAGTTTGTCGTTTCAGCGGGCTGTCAAATGCACCCCCATTCACGAAAACCTCTCACCACCACCGCCACCACCCCCAGAGCATTCGGTAGCTGCTCACTTGTCTGGCAAGTTTGACTTAAGTGCAGTTTTAACGCCCGCCTGTCTGTGCCTCTCTGTGAGTATGTGTGTGTGTGTGTGTGTGTGTTTGTTTGTGTCTGTGTTTGCGTCGTGTAAGCGAACGTGTTAACTGCAGGTGTTTGGAATTTGAGTTACGTGCGCACGCAACAAATTGAGAAGCGAGGGAGCGAGCGAGCGTGCAAGTTCTTGTTGTTGTTGGTAAGCTCTTAAAAAGCAAAGAATGCAACAGCAAGAGCAACAACAACAACAACTGGCGCCATGTAATTAAATGAAAGTGATGGCGGTCAGTGATGCGCTTATACCAAGACCCCAATCCGACCCAGCATATGCAAAGTTTAACCCTGAACTGTGCGACAGTGGAAGCTGCCTGCCAAGAACACAAATTACGCTTTTCATATGCATATGTACAGCCTTTTCGGAGCAACAACAAAAGTGCAAACTCCACTCGTTCTTATTCCAATTTCAATTTATTCACTTTTCGTAAAAACATTATGAATTTACAAGTGAGGTAAAGATATAATAGTGTAAAGAGTAGGGATGTAAGTCGAAGGGAAAACATCGATGTTGATGTGCATCGATGTCTCTTTATAAAAAATCGATGCATGGTCATGCATTTTAAAAAATTAACTTCCCATAGAAACGAAAAAAAACGAATATTAGAGGTAATTTAGGAATATTAGGAGAAAATCAACAGAGATTTCTGAAATAAAAAATGTTTATCTACATATTTTATTAGTATTTTACTTAATGTTGTTAATCAATAAATTACTCGTAGTATTGACATTGTGTGGCGTACTAAAAAAAAAAAGAGTATCTATAGTTTTAAAAACAACGACGCGTTGCAGCTACGCCTTTAAAGCATATTAATTATATACGAACAAATGAAGATCAAATGCTTAACAATCTAAAAATAGTACAAAATACACATTTTAATGAAAACATCAAATATTTTTTAAAACAAATGTATCTTCTTGGGTAAACCACACAAAGAAATACGACCGCCCAACACAACATGAATAATGTTCGATGTTTGGACAAACATTGATGGATCGACGAAGCAAAAATCCATCGGAAAACATCGATGCATCGTGGTAAAAACATCGTCGATACTCAACACATCGATGGTATTTTTACATACTTAGTTAAGAGTACAGACTTTTCTACTTAATTAAAGAAAATGCAGAAATATAAAAAGTTAAACAAGGTACGGCGATTGTGAATAATTTTGTGAGATCGAAGCCACTCCTTCACTTTCCTTGAGTTGCTTTTCGGTTCATTAAAAAATTGTCCGTTAGGTAACTCCTCTTTATTTATATCATCCATTACGTAAAGTAAGAAATGTACAGATCGCTAGAAAATTCCGAAACTAACCGGACACCGTCTGATGAGTATTAAGTCGTACAATTCCCTAAATGAACTAGAAAGCAATACGTTAGATAAATTCAAAAGGAGCAATGCAATACGAAGACTATCTATAAGACCATTAAACATTACACTGTTTTCAGTAGAATGCGGTCCTTTGGACCTTTGGCGAATCTCGTGATTTATAATTATAGCTAATAAATTATAGTATGTTTCAATTAAGCTTAAGGAATTATATTATCATAATATGAATAAAAATATAGAATAGAATAAAGTTGCAGCAATTTCAAGCTTTTGAAATATGATGTTCGGTTGATATATTGGAGTATTCCTTCAAAATTAGGATTTTAAAAACTTAATGGGCTTGACTGACTCTTTTTTGAAAATAAAGTAAATACTGCGGTGGCTAATACTACCCGTTTGGATAAACATTCAACGATATGTAATAGGAGTTTATGTGCAAATTTTATGTACAATTAAAGAAAGATATAATTAATGAAATTCCTATTCAGAGACTTACCTAATGGTATGATTATAGAATATCTCAATCAATCTCACTGTGTACAAATATTACCCGCACTATCTATTGTAACTCACAAAATATTTCCTTGCATAGTAAAATGTACTTATTTGATGGCCTTCGAAGTAATCGCCTCCGGAGGCCTATTAAACAGTGATTTCAATCTGTAAGCAACCATTCAGCTCTACCAGAAGAATTTTTCATTAGCAGTCGACGTCTTCTGCTGCTTGATTTAATGTAGTTCATTAATGGAGAGTTTTTACTGTCCATATGCCCAGTTGAGAATCAGTCTTTAGGCATACATTTCCTTCAAATAGGCGCCTGTTGACAGAGTGTCGGATTACATACTATGTCGTCCATTAAATCAGCTCGTCATGCACAATTCATGGGCTGTTCGAAT